GATCATTCTCCCGAGATCTTATTCGTCTTCCTTTCTTTTTCCCACCCGCCTACCTGCCTTTATCTGTAGGATTTAGATCGTATGCAACCGGAATTGCAAGACGTGTTTGTCCCTATCGAGCTTTGCAGTAAAATTGATGCCGGTCAGAATCCTCACCTATACACACGGGAATGTATGGAACAAGCTTTGGCCAAAAACGAAGCAGTTCGTGGCAAGCTGGACAGTCTGCGACGTTTTCGTGCCCTATTGATGGCAGAACTTTCTGTCTATTTTCCGAAAGAAATGGACAAGTACCGTGTAGTCCGCGGTGATCCGGAAGCTCCTGTTTTGGGTCCGACCAGTCTCAGTGCTGGAAGCACTGCCATATCGGGTCAGTCGAACGGATCAGGTACCGAGACCGGTCCGGATTCCGGATCGCTACGATAGATCGGACACCATGATGCGAACCCAACCCCACGCCACCCCTGATTTGTCATCCTTCTCCCGTTCGCATTTTGTCCGACGCCCCCCCCTCCTCCATCCCTGAATCCTATCTTTGCTTCGAGGCCTACTTCTTACTTTCCTTGACCTTTTTATTTTTTTTTGAATACAAGTTACATATCTGTTGTTCATGCAACTATTTTTTTTTTACTCGTGCGAAACTACCTTCCACTAGAAGATTTATTAGCTCCATAGACCACAAGAATCCGCAGACTCGACGGAATACAATTACACTCCGTAGGTACACCGTTGGGCCTTTTTATATCCGGTTGCACCGCTAAACTCCAGGTGCGGCCTGCAGGACAGTAGGGGTTCGCTCAGACAAGTTGGCTGTCAGTAATCTAGTTTGTTTCCCTCTGGACTGCATTGCGGAGTTGACAAAACGGAAGCGGTCACGACCGCCGTAGTTACAAGTCGCATTCACCATGTCAATACAGTACCACCGTCAGACCGGTGTGGTGTTTTGTATAGCGAACGCTTGAACAGTGCATTGGGTTCCTCGTTCGCCACGGCTTATTCCTTGAATCTGTGCGCATATTATTAGCAGTTGACCGGCATTCCGCCAACTGAGGATCCGTCAGATAGCATGAAACTGGGATTCTCATATGCGGCACGATTCTGATTGATGGCCGGGTGTCGGAGCTCGATGCGGTTCGAAACCAAGATCCGGTAAAGCTGTTCCCACCCAATGCACTGCATCAGGACTGTGCGGGGGAGGGGGTTTATATACGCTTTGTAGACCACATCTTTTCCCATCTCGACTGAGCTGCTCTGTAGCTCAACGTCAATACACGTGCGCGCACGAGTTATGCAGCGAATAAAATCATCCCGGAAAGGACACCTCGGTGGTGGTATTCAGTCACAGTGTTATAATTCCACGGGGAAAGTTGTTTATCACGGACAGCAATAAGAATATCGATCAATTGGATTGCATAGAACGAAGCATCTCATCTAGAACCGGTCACTTTTAATTTCAACAAACACCCAGAATAATTGATGGCACAGCTCGATGGTAGAAGTGCATTTTCTGTAGTTACCATTTCAAACACTAATCCTCTTCAGGAGATATTTACTTTCATTTTTGACCGATGTGAGAAACCGCTGATCAAATCCTTTTGTGCAATCCAACTAGACTACTCACACATGTAAGTGGACCTCACAACAACAACAGTTATATCAATCCCTATGCCACACAGTACAGTGTAGATGGGACCAGAACAGATGTACTCGCGATCATTCAGTTTTCGGTCGAAGGACAGGAAAACTATATCAAAGATTTACGAATAATAAATCCCTTGGCACCGGAGGCATAAAATCGGATTTTGATCATTCGATAGCAGGACAAAAGGCAAGCGAATAGGCACCATCATAGGGAATGTTGATGGACTGACTGGAAGTCAATTGAAAGTTCTACAAATCGATGTGAAAGTCCATGCTGTAGATAAGCACTCTAACACGGGGTGGCAACACACCGCAGCTAAGTTCCTAATACCTCAGGCAACGAATAGAGGGATGACTGGTTGCAGTAACTTCTTTTGAAGCATTTGGGCACGTCTGTTGCCTTTTAATATCAAGTATATAATACATAGATAGCTTCGAATCCAACGCAACGGACTGTGTGGCATTGTATAGTCTCTACCACTTCCTTGATTGGTTAGTAACCTTCCCACGTACATAGACAGGAAGTTTGAAACGCCCCAATTGCCTGTGACACTCAAAACAAGGCGATCTCGATCCAAATCAAACTGCTGCATCACCTGACCGTGCTTTTATTCAACCCAGGCANCCCCCCCCCCGTTCTCGTTTCAGCGCAATTTGTGCTGTTTCCTTGTCCTGAGATGAAACACTGGTTTTCATCACCTACAGACAAGATAGTCTGAATATCGGAGGTAATCTTCGCAAAAGTTTCGCTAGCATTAGAAACGTAGTAATCATTGTTTCTGGTCACAAATACCAGATTAGGCCTTCCTTATCTGTGGTTGGGCCTAATAACGAACGTTTTGGAGACCCTTACTGCACTTGGGTGGATGCATCAGCTTCCACATTTTTGTTTCGGGCACGTGTTTGGAACTGGTTTACGATGAATTGGGATCTGGGATGGTCGAAAGTTTGTATGCAATCGTGTGATCAGGAGCAAAAGGAAAGAATTGAAACTAAGCATCCGTTTAACTCATTCATCTGTGTCGGCAATATAGGTGGCGGCCGAAAACGAGTGAGTCAAAACCGTGTGCCTGACAAATTGCCCGTTGGAACATTTTCATGGTTTCCTCAGGTGTCAGACACATCGGTGTATATGAGTGTGCTTGCACTTTTCTGACATCAACGAATTCGTGTTGTATACCGTCGAAGACCATTTCGATTATACACCGGTTCCCCCAACACGGATGGAGCCGAACCCTTTTAGGGGTTTACTGTGGGATCGACCATTCGATGGGCGCGGGCACTCAACGGATTTGCCATGGAGCGATGAGCTGTATGGAATTCAACTAATTCAGGATACCATACACCAAATAAATCTGAATTCGGATTTCGTGATAAATATGACGGGATCAAACCGAGTGGATTCGATTCATTTGATAAAACGAGGTGGACTTTCGAGGTTTTTACTGCAAATACCAGAACTGTACAGATCTCATTTCCCGCATACGACTGACAAGCAGGTGATGCCACTGACAAGCAAAACGCGCCTGATTGCGTTCAAAAGTCGGACAAGTATTGCCTGAAGTGTTGCATGTTAGTGGAAAACCAGACGAAATGTGTTCTACAATATGTCATAATCTCGTAAAGCTTGCGAGCGTAAGCTACGTAACGAACGCCCTCAGACGTAGGGTATGGTACTATGCATTTTTGCTTCACCGGTCTGCAAACAGTGCAACTTTACTGCAGATAATTTTGTCAAAAGCTCAAAGTTGGTATAGTCAATCAAAGATGCTCCACGGTGTATTCATTCTAACCGCCAATGCGAGCGTGCTTGATTTTGAACTAGACTTCAGGCACCACAGCGCACTTTAGTTGTCTCTTTATATCGTAAGGTATCCATGATAAAATGATCTGTTTATTTTCCACACTGCATCCACCGCATTTGAAAAACCTTGATTTGTTACGAGTTTAGGTGTAACTTCCGTCCGCATGGCTGATAGAGCTCGAAAGTCGGAGCTGTACTTGAATAGCTGCCATTGCGGGGAAAGTGATCTGGAATACTATAAATGGCACAAAATATCCTCGTTGAGAAATACGAGTGATGAAATGAAAGAAAAACGGGTGAGAATGATCGCTTGATCGCCAAAAGGGTATGTATGCATATCCCTAATCTTAATCAGTGAAACTGAAAACAATGTTTTCCCATCACAAATTTGACTAAAGAATTCAGAATTATGGTTTTTGCACAATGTATCCACCAGGGTCATTTCGCTGCATCCCTGTACACACGTGCATACTGCAATCAAAGTTATTTTTTTATGTAGTCGATGAGATAACTACCGTGAGATGAAGACATGATTGCAAATCGCAACGCATAACATGACACAGTAATACAAAGAACGGGAGAGGGTAGAGGGGGTTAATCACCAAGGCAAGGTTAATGTGATTAACCATTCACGTTGTTTGCGTAGATCGAGTTTGAGGGTATGAATGGCTATAAATGACCTCGGCAAATTTCCGTAACTTTCTGTTTGTTGTGTTGTAGATGACTTGGAATGCGTGGGTCGGAATGACATCGTGTTTTAGTTCAGCAAGCGGTTGAACCCTGCCGTCCAGCCTGTTTCCTACGCAGTTGACCCGGTCATTGTCTTCACTACCACCCGGATACCAATGACATCGGTGAAAGAACCATTGCCCCCCTCCGTCAAATCAAAATGCATTTACCAATTCAAGTGTGGATGCTCAGTCATCTACACAGACAGGACAGAGAGGCAGGTACGTCACCGAATGGCCGAACACATCCCGGTGTGGCTTAAGAAAGCGATGGACAACAAGTTCAAAACTGTTACGTCGTCGAATAATGACTTAGATCTTCGATAACACAGCACTTATTCGAACTAAAACACGCTGTCATTCCANCACGCATTCCAAGTCATCTACAACACAACAAACACAAAGTTGCGGAAATTTACCGAGGTCATTCATAGCCATTCATACCCTCAAACTCGATCTACGCAAACAACGTGAATGGTTAATCACATTAACTTTGCCTTGGTGATTAACCCCCTATACCCTATAGCCCGACATGATCCGACATTTTGTGACGAAATTATAGCCAGGAATATCCTCCTTACATGGTGCTCAATAAATAAATCCCAGTCACCGGACCATGCTGACCCAAACCTGCGTGCTCTAGTCCGCCAAACTTTCTTTGATAGCGTATTTTTCAGCTGTCGGAAACTGTCTGTCTTTCCGTCCCCAAACAAGGAGTATGGTGCAATCCTTACAACAATGGTCTGAGCTCCGTTGTCTCGTTCGTCTCTATGAGCCTGGAACTGTTGACTGAAGAGCAACTCCACTATCACTTGGAACAACACGAACTTTTCAACGATCACCAACGTGGTTTTCGGCACAATAGACCTTTTAGCATACAAGTTTCACATGCGACTTCCCGCCGTTAGTCACCATAGTGAATCGCACCTGGTCTATGTTATTATCTTCAAGCTGTCCGATCGAGTTTAGCGTGATGGGCCTCTGGTGAAGCTTCTCAATTTCCGTCTTTTCCCGTGCTTATTCACTTAGATACAAAGCTTCCTTTGGAACCATCCACTCGTGTCCATCAAGTCATTTAGAGAGCGATCCCGTGAAGCGCAGGTATCTCATAGGGTTCCGTACTAATTTCCGTTCATCCCAAACTCTGTATGTCATCCATGTTTTTTTCCGGATGATATCACCCTGTCTTGCAAAACTGTCCGTGTGTTCTGCTCTGACATTGTTATTCACGATCGATTATTGGCGTGCACTTC